TGCTTATGATTTTTAGTTATTTATATTTTTGAAAATTTGTGGCAACATAGGTCCACAATTGATTGTTGCGACATGGGAAACAACAAGGACTATCTGTTTAGTAATTGATTGGTGATATGAGTCACGTGGTGTACCTAGAGCATCGAATAATTTTCCAAGATTAACATTACCATGTTCACAGGAGGTCAGCGACTAGCAATTATGTGCTTTTGATGTCAATAGTTGCTTGATTTTGAGAATTATTAGTGGGGTCTGATTGTCACCATCCTGATTTTTTCAAATCATTGTTATAGCTTTAGCAAAGATGCATGCACTCATCATGGTTGATTGAAGACAATCAATTGGACAATTCAGCAGCTTAAAACGCTGAAAAGAATAAGAAAAATAATTGGTAGCTTAAATTTGAGTTTGTCTCAAAGTCTGAATTTGTGTTTGCCGATTGACCGTTTGGTCGACAAGTGAAATATTTGTCTACCGTGGTTGTTACCCAGCACTGGTGGCTGATGGTTGTTGCTGCTGCTGCTGCTGCTGCCGGTGTGCTACTGCAGAATTTTGTTGGGCTGTTGCTGCTGTAGAATTTTGCTAGGTTGCTGCTGCTGTAATGTTGCTGTGAAGCAGGCTGCTACTAGATGCTGGTCTGCTTCAAATTTGGGTTGTTGTTAGTTTCATATTTTCATTTTGTTATCTATTGTTTTTACTATGGGTTCACAATTTGGATGTATTTGAGTATTTTAGTGAGTTTACCCCGCTTCGAAAAGCATATTTTTCAATAGTATTTTTTTGCCTACACATCAACTTTAGGTGATTTAATATCAATGTTATTAGTTTGTAATAGTAGTGCCTGAGAGTTGCCTCTTGTAAATATGTAAATCTTATAAAAAAAATATAAATGATTTTCAATTTTTTTTGCTGCTACAAATTTGTCGTTGCCAAAAAGTAAAACTTTCTCGACAAACAACTTGTCGGTAAATGTGTAGCCAAAAGTTTATTTTTGCCTACTCATATTGTGTTGCTAAAAGTGTATTTTTTGCCAATACCAATTTATTGTTAGCAAAAATAAAGCTTTATTGACAACCAAATCGTTGGCAAATGGCAACATTTACCGACGTAAATGTGTCGCTAAAAGTTTACTTTTGCCCACTTATATTGTGTTGATAGAAGTGTATTTTTTGCCAATGCCAATTTGTCGTTGCCAAAAGTAAAGCTTTAGCGACAAACAAATCGTCAGCAAATGGCAACATTTACCGACGTAAATGTGTCGCCAAAAGTTTACTTTTGCTGACGCATATTTTGTTGCTAAAAGTATGTTTTTTTCCCATGCAAATTTAATCGTCATATTTGAATGACTTTTACTGACGTAAGGTAAATTGTCGACGATGGATGAAGGCTTTTATCGACGACTATGTTCGTCGCTAAAGGCATTACTTTTACCAACGCAATGATAATTTTGTTGGCAAAAACTTTTGCCGACTCACTTTTGCCTAAAGGTTGCCAACGTAGCTTTGTGTGTCGGCAAAACTCTTTGCCAACGAATTTTTCCTTTTAGCAGTATATTTTGTTGCGTTGCGAAAAATGTAATTTCTTATAATGAATATTGGTTACTAGAGTGTATTGGATGACATTTATTTAATTGGGCCATGTTACAATTAGATGAGCCAATTAGACTATTGAAGTGTGTTTGTGGTTAATTATCCCAAATCTTCCATAAATCAGGCCTACTCAATTAATTAATTATTAAATCTATTTATTTATTTTGTTTAGTTTCAAAAATAATAATGACGGTTTGGACCATAAGGTGGGGTGATGTGATGTGCTTCCACCGGCATAAATAAAAATCATATTACAAAGCTCTCTTTTCACATGTGGGCTGAAGGGCTGTACAGTTAAAATAGTTATAAAAAAATAAAAAAATTAATATGGTAAAATGTCATATTTAATTATATTTATTTTATTTTTTTCTCTCGTAGATGTTAAAAAAGTCAAAAGTTCATTCTAAACGATGTTTTTAACCCCAGATGCTAGACTTTTGGCATTTTTTTAAATTTTTTTTGAAAAAAATGTGTAAAAAAATAAAGAGGTAATGTAACCCAAAATAAATTAAAAGTTGACTATTAACTTTTAGTCAAGTTCTCAAATTGAGCCAAAATAACTAAAAAGTCAAAAGTCAACTCACTTCCCAAACGAAACCAAAGAAAAAAAAAAAAATTCAACTTATTTAATTTATTTCTACCTAATAAACTATAAATTGAAACTGTATCAAACAGTTTGGCATACACTTTAATACTAGAATAAGACACTCTAATACTATGATAAGTTCTATAATCCCCGCCAAACACCCCGACTATCTCTTTTCTTCCCCAATCTATTGCCACATGTTATTCTTTCCCAATCTATTGTCATCTGTTATTCTTTCTTAGGGGGTGTAAATTTGGCTCAGGCCATGTCGGGCCTCGTGGGCTTCTGCCAAAATTCAAGTTGGGCCGGGCAAGCCCATGGGCCAGAAAAAATTAGGCTTAGGCCCATGAGATATTGGGCCTTGGACAGATTGGGCTGGTGGGCTTGGGCAAGCTTGAACATTTTTTTTTAGTTTTTTTAAAAAAAATTTCTACCAAAAATTTTATTATTTTTCATTAAAAAAGACACTAGGCCTGGGGCGGACCAGGTGGGCCAAGCCTTAAGTGGACCTTAAGCGGGCCGATGAGTCTAGCCACGGGTCGAACTGGGTTTCAAAATGATGGCCTAGGCTCAGGGCTTGGGTCTCGAGCTGGGCTTAGGCTTATCCTGGGCCATGGGCCATTTTTACACTCCCATCCTTTCCCTATCCTAGCAGTAGGGGTGCTCGCGGTTCGATTGTGACTAAGAAACCTCCAATCCACCATCCATTCGCTGGATTGCGCGGATTGGAAAAAATCAATTCACATCCGTCCGCCAGATTAACTAATGTGAATTGAGCAGATTGGCGAATGGATGTGAATCAGTTTAGCGATTTAAACTTTTACAAATTTTGAATATAATATAACAACTTTTCAAGATTTTTCTTTTTGGATAATAATTCAACTCAACATAACTAAAAGATTATTAAATAAATTGTCAAATATCAATAATAAATATATATAAGAAAACTATGCATTATCAAAACTATTTTATTACTTTTTTTTTATTCAAAAACTATTTAATTTGATTTTTTTTAAATAACAAAAATTAAACTTGATATTTTTCATACAAAAATACTAAATATCAACATTTACCATTTGATAAAAGGATTTCCAAATTGAAAATAAATTGAAAATGCAACAGAATATCTAAATTCTTTTTCAATTGAAAATACAAATAGAATATCTAAATAAATTGAAAATACACAGTTTTACAAATTAATAGGGGCGCTCACGGTTTGCCGGTTCGATTGCGGCAAAAAAAATCTCAAATTCGCTATTCGTTCAAAACTAGGTGGATTGCAAAAAATCAATCCGTAACCATTTGCTCGTCATTATGCATTCGTCCAAAATGCGGTGAATCAGTTTGGTTCAGTCAGTTTGGGTGGATCGGAATATTCGCTGCTCACCCCTACCTAGTAAGGTGTTTGATAATATGATCTAATACTTAAAACTAAATTGATTAAGTGATAATTAATTAAGCCTATTTGATAATCACAATTGATAACATTTAAAAATTTAAATGACTCTTAAAATGTAAGCCAAAACTTGAGTAAATTTTAATTCATATCAAACTTACTTAATTCTGACTGAATTTATAAAAACGAAACATAAGTATTGATATATACTATTATAAACTCACCACCATCACCACCATTACCAATACCACCATCATCATCTACCGCCACCACCATGTCACCGGCACTGCTACCACCACCACCACTACCACCACCGCTGCTACTGCTATCACTACCACTATCACCATCATCATGCCACTGCCACCGCCACCGCCACCGCTACACGGCCACTACCAACATTGCTGTGACTACCACCGTTGTCGCTGCCGCTGCCGCTGCTACCACTCTACCACCGCCACCGCCACCCTCCGATTATAAAATTAATACATACAATTTAAAAATAATAAATTTTATACATATAAAATAATTTATTTTTAATTTATCACTTAAATTTTATCAAACAATTTTTAACTTAAAAAATTCAACATTTAATTTCTAATACTTTATTTCAATCTTCAATTTTTAATTTTTAACTTTATCAAACACCACCTTCTCCTTTCCTTCCTAAGTCCATGACATTGCTATCCTTCCACACCACCAACAAATAAATAAATAAATTAATTGAGTTATCTACATCATCCATGTTCTATTAGTTATAATTAATTAAACGGACGTTTATTTCAAATTAATAATAAATCTTATAAATTTTATGAGATCAAATTCGTGGATTAGACCGTGCTATCTAAATCTATGAGCGTCACTATAAGCTCTATTTCAGTAATTTAAATTGTTAAATATGTAAAATTTATAAAGTATTTTATGTCTGTAAAAAATTAAATTGATCAATTATCGATAGTTACTTGATCAAATTATATTATTGTTAACAATTTATTTTAAAAATTATATTTATCGTTGACAAAAATATAATTTGATCAAATAATTATCGATATCCAGTTAAGACAATTTTTTATAAGAGTAAAATATTCAACGAATCTTTATTAAATGGTTCAAACAGGACTATAATAAGCTCTACAAATCTAAACCTCCGTTTAGAAAGTGGGTTGACTTTTTGATTTTTTAATTTTTTTGATTATTTTTGCCTGGACTAAAAAGGTTAGTTTGTAAAGGATTTTTTAACTTTTTAAATTTTTTGATTTTTTTTTGTTAGAGAAGAGTGTAATAATTATGGATTAGATGTGATATTTTTGTTTGTTATAGTTAAAATAACCTATTTTATCTTTTATGACTAAAAAAAAAAAAAAAAAAAAACTTTGCTAAACGGAGCCTAAGGCAAAAGAGAAAATAATTAAGATCATAATTTTTTTTTATTGATTTGTAAATACTTTGGAAAAGCGTCACTGATAGTATTTTCATCAACATCGTAGATTCCCGAATCTGTGCATCGTTCTGGTCAGACGCCGGAAGCAGAGAGACAGATAGAGACTCAGCCCTCGAACGCCATGGCCACCGACTTCAAATCCATTCCTTTAATAGGTAATAAAATCATCACTCTATTCCAAACCCCTAAAATCTCTCTCTCTCTCTCTCTCTCTCTCTCAATTAATTTAGAAAAAAGACTCAAGAAAAAGGTAAAAGAAAAGTTTTTAATCCAAAAAATGAAATTCTTATGGGTTTATTGATAGTCTTTGGCATGAGCTTGCTTTTACAAAAGGGGATTTAAAATTTGCTCAAAACCAAGTTCTTGAGCTTCAAATTATTGTAATTTTGTTTTTGTTTTTGCTTTTGTTTTTTTTTTTTTTTAATGATAAATTACACTTATAAGAGGTTTGAAAATTGAATTTTTATTTTTTTTAATTTTTCTGTCTCTGTTCATGAAAAGAGGGGAAATTACATCCAGTAGGGCAGGGAAAATTTTTTACACAATCATGGAAACTTGCACCCCACAACCTTTGTACCTCAAATATTTTTGTATTTTTTTTTTTGTCCCACGTTGAAATTCCCCCATTAAAAAAAGGAGGAAATGTGAAGAAAATGAGTTCATTCATATTATTTTATTCTGAAAAGTAAAATTCTTATGGGTTTATTGATAGTCTTTGTTGTGAACTTGCTCAACTTCTTCAGAGTTTCAAATTATTGAAGGGAAATTTTATACGGTTACGATTTTTGTGTCTTGGTTATGTTAGTTATTAGTTATGACATATTATATTTGTAGTTATGATATTATTTTAACTATTTTGGTTATAACACAATTCACAAATGACATAACTTGTACCATAGCATTACCCATTATTGTATTTTGTTTTTTTTTTTTTTGGGTTTGATGAGTTTATACATATTTCCTATGATGTTTTTCTATCCCAATAAATAAAATTCTTATGGGCTTATTGATAATCTTTGTTATGAGCTTGCTTACATATGCAGATTTTACATTTGCTCAAATCCAAGTTCATCAGAGCCTCAAATTATTGTAAATTGTTTTTCTTTTTTGTTTGTTGTGTTTAATGAGTTTATATATATGATATGATGTTTTTCTATACCGATAATTAAAATTCTTATAGGTTTATTATAGTCTTTGTTGTGAGCTTGCTTACAAAGGAGACTTACATGGGTTCTCATTGATCAAACTTATTTACATCGAAGTCCTGTTTCATTTCTTGCCTATTAATATTTTAAAAAATGTTGAGGAAAAATAAGCATTTCAGGACTTATTGGTGCATTAAAAAAGTCTAGAAGACTTAAAAGTATTTATCACATAGGACTAGCCCGTAATTTACCTGCTTGATATTCAACATTTGTTTAAATCCAAGTTTTTCAGAGAGCTTGAAATTATTGTAATTTTTGTTTTTTTGGGTTTTCACTCATGAGGCAGATATTAGCCCTCTTTTGGCGAAATGGGATGATCCAAACATGGCGCAAGACCAAGGCATCACTGGAGTCGTTAAGCAGTTGGACCAAGCTTGTAGAGAAGCTGGCTTCTTTTATGTGGTAATTCTCTGTGAATCCATTGTATATTCTTTGTTTGTGTGTCTGTTGCAATCCTATCAGATTGATGATTTGAAGACCCATAATCAAACCAAAGTACTCAAAAATCAGACCAACCCCACCCAAAGAGGTCGGGTTGGTTCAGTTTTTTTGGTTTACTGGGTATTTTGCACACCCCTAATTTGAACCCATTAGTCATTTCAATATTCATCTTTGTTTTCAAAGTATTTTATTTTGATTGGGGGCAGTTGTTAACCCTCAATTGTCTTCTCTCTTTGTCTTGTTGGATACCTACTATCATTTTGAATTCTTAACTTCAACAAAGCATACTTCAGGGACTTGTTTGGTTTAGATTATTAAATGTGTTTTTGATTATTTAAATAGATAATTAATGAATAAACAAGTTGTATATAATCATATTTGGTTAGCATGTATGATTGTTTACACATAAAAACAAACATATTTGGTTAAATAATGAAAATGGAAACAGGGTCTCAGTTTAACCAACACTGGATTGATATTTCAAAAAATGGTAGTTATTTATTTATTTAGTTTTATCTATTTTAAAATCAGCCCAAACATCCTAAACCAAATTTTTATTTGTTTATTAATATATATACATACTTTTTAATATTGTTTTTTATGTGTTGTGATTAATCAGAAGGGCCACGGTATACCCGATTCCATTATCAAAGAGGTTAGAAATGTGGCACGCAAATTCTTTAGTCTGCCTTACGAGGAAAAACTAAAGATTAAAATATCTCCCACAACTGGATACAGGTATGCTGCCTGGAATAATTTGTGGCATTAGTATTTTCTTTTTCGTTTTTTCACTTGGAAATTGCTTCCTAATTTGACAGCAAGTTAACATTTTGCACACAGAGGGTATCAGCGGATGGGCGAAAATATAACCAAAGGCATCCCTGACATGCACGAAGCTATTGATGTATGTTTTTCCTAATTGGTTCGGAAGTTTCGGTGTTTGTGTTGCCACTATGAATAGTTGATTTCCCTAGTCAATCATGGCTTGTGGGTATCTGAATAACCACCAAGAAATGATAATGCATTCTAACCAAAGAAATGATAGACCACATCAATTGAATAACTTCTTGAACTCTTCAACACAATTATATAGAACACCAAAAAATGATAATCGGCCCCTTTATATCATATATATTCAATGGCTTGCATTCTAGTCATTGTCATTCGAAGTTTCACAAGCACATATGCTATGAAGCACGTTTACTTTAAAAAGGGAGACATATCCGTATCCCATTCGTATCGGATACTGATACTCGTTGGATACTCACAGATACGTATCGGATACTTAATTTTGAAGCATCGGATATTCCAAGTCCCATATTACTCCTAATACTTTATTTAGTTATTTGATAAGAGAAACATAGTGAGAGTTAAAGTAATAAAATTTGTTAAATTGATGTATCCTTATTGTTTTATGCATGCCCTCTATAACTACATAGAAAGTAAGGATTAACAAGAGAATATAATAATAGTAAAATTAAAAATTAATAAATAAATAAGTAAATAAACTTGAATACAATATTTTTACTACTACCAAAGGGAAAAGCATAGGAACAAGTTGTAAATTGTTCTATTATTGTAATATAAACATATTAAATTTGATATTAAATGAAATATTTGCAACATGTATTGAAAATTTTAAAAATAAACGAGTTACGGTTTTAAATTAATACCTAATTCATAAAGGTTAGTGTTTTGCATTATAAAATTACAATGCGGTCTCTTAACATTCTTGAGCTTGTGTGTAACTCACTATCAATAATTTTTTTAAAATATATTTTTTATAAATGTATCTTAGGGGTGACCATTGGTTCAATGGTTTAGACTTAGCCTGATAACTTTAAGGTTATGGGTTCAAATCTTGGAGCTATCACTTTGTGCATTATGTCAAAAGTTAGGTTTGTACTCAATCTTATTGTGTCAAACGTTAGGTTTGTACTCTATCTTTCTCCTCCCAAACACATATTAATGTGTACTAATTGGGCGTCTTTTTTTTTTCAAACGTATCTTAGCCGTATCTATATCTGTATCTTTCTTTTTTAGGTTTTGTCTTATCGCCGTATCCGTATCTCATATCCCGTATCCGTGCTTCCTAGCACGTATGTTATTTTTGTTTGAATAGGCATATAGAGTGACCCGATTCATTGGTGTTGTGCATAGGGAAAAAGCTTTGATTCTCTCTTTGATGATAGTAGTAATGCAGTATTGATATGTTGTTATAACTATTTATCTATTTGGCTTCTTTTTTCTCTTTTACGGGCAACAGTGCTATAGAGAAGTGAAACCGGGGATGTACGGTACTCTCAGCAAACCTTTAGAAGGTCCTAATCAATGGTACGTAGAATAATGATTTTTATTTTAAATTTCCATCCGAAATGAAAGAAGATTATGTTGACATATCCTTTTTTAGGATGCATCTCTTTCTCTCTCATTGTTCACTGTTCACCTAGTTCTTATTGCCTGCGATTTTTTTGGTTTTCTACTTCCATTGATTGTTTCTTCTCGCAGGCCGATTAATCCTCCAAATCTAAAGCAACTGATGGAGGAGTATATCAGCCTTTGTACAGGTCCATTCCTTACTGAGATTAATATATACTAGTTTAAAAACTTTGGTGATCTATTTTTATAGTTCTACGATACCATAATTTTACAAATGTCAATTACCAAGTGCTGCAGATCTGTCAAGAAAAATTATGCGGGGAATTGCTCTAGCATTGGGTGCATCAGCAGATGAGTTTGAAGGTGAAAGAGCCGGAGATCCATTTTGGGTTTTCCGAATAATTGGTTACCCTGTTTTATCCCATGCAAACGGCAAAGACATGACAGAAAATGATATTGGATGGTAATTGAATATTGCTTATGTTGGTGCTTTCACTTTTTATTGTGTTTCGGTTGTTCCAATTTGGTGATGTCTTTCTTTTCTTGTTATTTTGTCTATCTGTCACTCTGTTCAAACAAATCCAGTGGAGCTCACACTGACTATGGTAAATTTCTAGTCTTTACACGTTTTAATGTGAAACATCCATATGATCTTGTTTGTTGGTCATAATTTTCTTATGCTGCTGCGTAACAGGTTTGTTGACGTTAGTTAATCAGGATGCTGATATAACCGCACTAGAGGTATGATCATCGACTCTTTCTTTTAATTTTTAATCTTTTTTTATTTTTATAATTTTGGTTTAAAGAAAGAAATTTCTCACTCTTATCATTTATATACTAACCAATACATTTGTTTATGAAACCTCCAGGGTTAAATTCTGTTGATTTGAAAATGGCGAAATACTAGATTCGTGTTTTTAATTTATTTCCTGTTCCATTCAATTTGGGGTTTAAAATTTTAATTTATTTTGCTGTTATCTTATGTAATGGTTTTTATTTTTATTTTTATTTTTTTTATCAAGCCAAAAGTAGTGATTTTAGTAAATTGTTGAAGGTGAGAAACCAATCTGGTGAGTGGATATCAGCTCCTCCAGTCCCCGGCACATTTGTTTGCAACATTGGTGACATGCTAAAGGTACCTAACGTCACACAACTCTCCAATATCTGTTACTGTCTTTCATGAGGCGGAAACCCTCTTGAAACCTGGAGAAAATTGCAGATTTTAACAAATGGACTCTATGAGTCAACTTTCCACCGAGTCATCAACAAATCTCCAACATATCGAGTCTGCGTGGCCTACTTTTATGAGGTTATCTCTTTGCTTCCACTTGTTCCCTTTCTTTTAATCTTTAATATTTGTTTTTCGCTCTTCTTAAGTCGTCCTTTTTGCATGCTGTTTTTTCATGAACAGACGAACTTTGACGCTGCAATAAAACCCTTGGATATTTGTATAAGACGAACAGGTGGAACTAAGAAGTTTGAAAGAGCAGTTTATGGAGAGCATTTAGTTAGCAAAGTAACAACCAATTTTGTAAAAGAGGATGAATTAGATTCTTGATCTTTTGACTACCTACTTGTATCTTTAAGAACCATTAAATAATTCGAAGTTGTGTAAACAGTATATCAAATGGAATTGAAACATTGTTCGTTGCTGAGATGCGTGTATTGGTGTTTGTATTCTGTCATTAGATCAATTTAACTGTACATGTTTTCTTTGCTTTTCTCATCTTCTTTACCTAATCATCTCCAAGTTGATTAATCGAGGCATAGCGTGCCGTGTCTTAAAGGGGTGGGGTGGGGTGGGACGGCAATTGCAACGGGTGACAAGTTGTACAGATATAAGTTAAAGAAATGTTGTTAGACCATTTCTAATGGTTACTCAAAATTGTAATCAAATTTAAATTTGATGAAAAATAACTTAAAAATCTGCTCTAATGTTTTCATCGAATACGTATCAAATTCAGCATTTCACTTTTCTTTTATCAAACTGAGAACATGTGTCTTTTATCAAATTATAGTTCATTGCCATTGGATTTTCAACGCCGGATGTCTTTTCAGATGTCCTCCCGGTCGTTTCCATGGATGATCACCTCAAAACAAAAAATTATGAAAAAATTACATTGGACAGTCGCCTGCCTAATCGATCGGTAGTTTGATGAAACTTTAAAACTCTCCGTTGAATCACTTGATATCAAAGGAAATTTTTATTCAAATTTGATGAAAAATTAGTGGACAGACAGTTGAAAATGCTCTTAGTAAAGTAAACCTTAAATATCTATATCTCCCCGTAGGGAAGAAATTACACTTACACTTGTTCACTTCAATTAATAATTAAACTAAATTTCTTATTTATTGCATTGCTGCATACACATAACTATAAACATATTCGGCAGCATATATGACAGTCTTGTCACCAAGAATGGCCGTTGGAGTTTGGATGAACAACAGGGGACTGAACCAACAATTAAGGCAAATCCATCTTACGATACCTTTCCAGAGCAGCATAAGAAGGCGACGGAGCAGGCACGGGCGGCATTAGTATCTCTCCATCAGACGATGCTTTCCTCGAAGCAAAATCCTCAATATTACAAGGTAAGTAATTCATAGACTTTTCATCCGGGCAGGACCTATTGATTGAGAAAAAAGCGGCACATTCAGCCTTACTTTTCTGAAAAGGTAGGTCCAGAATGCAATTCATCCTAACGTCCAGCACATTCCTCTTGATCAGCTCTCTGCAATCTGGGCCTACCTGTGTGAAGTAGTTGAAACTCAGAGTAAGATTCGACAGGTCATCGAGCTGGCACAGCTCTTCCGGTACCGTCCCATACAACTTGTTAAATGACAAGTTCAGCAGCTGCATCTCCTCCAAACACCCGAAAGAGCGCGGTATGGGACCCGTCAACTGGTTCATGCTGGCATCGAAGACAGTTGCTATCTTCAACAACCCGATTTCATACGGAAGACAACCAGACAGTTTGTTGTTCAAGAGCAACACCTCCAGCAAATTGATTTTAGCTTGGCCGATGCTTTTTGGGATTGGACCGGTGAATTGGTTGTTCGCCAAGGTGAGGTAAAGAGCAGAGGTGTTTCCCAGATTGTCCGGTATTTCCCCGGTAAACTGGTTGTTGTTGAGGAAGAGTGCGTCGAGGTTGAGATTGAACACTCGAGGATTAACCGAACCGATGATGGAGTTGAACCGGAGGTCCAAGAAGGTTAGCTGGCTGGCGCCAAGAACGGAGTTTGGGAACGGCCCGGTGAGCTTGTTGTTGCTCAAGTCGAGCTCGAAGAAAAAGCGAAATTTGGAAATTTTGTCGATTTTGGAACCGGTGAAGTTGTTGGAGTTGACGTGGAAGTAGGCGAGGTCCGGTAGTTGATCAAGGAAGCCAACGGGGGTCAATGGATTGCCATTGAGGTTGCCCCCGTTCAAGTTGACGCCGGAAACTGTGAGCGTGTTATCAGTGGGGAATTTGTCGCAGCGGAAGCCCCTGTACTTGCAGACATTCTTGCCATTCCATGTTTTGATGATGCCATTGGGGTCGGAGGTTATTGTTGTTTTGAATCTTTGGATTACAATATAGGCCCGTTCAAGTCGGCTTAGAGTTCGCGGCTTACGGGGAGGAGGAGGTGGTGGCGGTCGAGGGGGCGGAGGAGGTGGTGGAGGAGGGGATTTTACTGGGGGAGGTGGAGGGGGAGATGGAGGTGGTGGTGATGGTGGAGGAGGGAAAGGTGGAGGGGGAGATGGAGGTGGTGGTGGAGGAGGGGAAGGTGGAGGGGGAGATGGAGGTGGTGGTGATGGTGGAGGAGGGCATTCTACTGGGGGAGGTGAAGGGGGAGGGCATTCGGATTCTGGAGGAGGGGAGAAATAAGGTGGGTAAAAGCCGCCACCGATTATGATTTCGAGTGTTTCTCTGGTGTTTTCAGAAACAGAAACTGAAGTGTTTCCATTTGCTTTTTGGAAATATGAAGAGAAGATGAAAAAGGTGAGAAACAGAATTGCCATGGAAAGAAAGTTGTTGCTCATCTCTCTCTCCCGCTCTCTCTCAAATTGAAATGATGATGGTTCTCTTAAGTAGGGGGAGGGAAGAGGAAATATACAAAGGAACAATAGTGTACATCACACTATTAGCCCTATAATTTAAGTAAAATGTGATTTTAGTTATGTAATTTTAATTTGAACATTTTGAATCTTACGCTTTTAATTTTGTTATAATATGATTCTTCTGTCACTATTAAAATTTTGAACAGGAAAAAATCACGTGTAAAACTTAGAAGAATTTTAAAAAAATTATAAGAACAATTGGTATAATGTTAATCCTTATAGCTCCTTTTAAATTCCATTTTGATTCCTCTAAATTTTGCACGTAATTTTTTTCACACATGATGGGGATCACATTATAACAAATTTTAAAAGGGCAAGTTATAAAAAACAAAATAAAATAAAAAAACCTTAAGGTTTGACCTTTATAACAAAATAAACTCTAAATTTTTAATTTCATTAATTTAAACTATAATTTTTTGATTTTTTTTCAATTTAAATCATTTCTTTTATAAAAAAAAAAGGTGAAAGCAATAGAAAAAATTTATTTTAGTTATTAAAACCAATGAAAAAATGTATTTTATATATTTTATTTACACCTACATTGAGTTTGATAGTTAAAATATTATTTTTCTGTTAATTTTACTCAACTAAAATATGTGAATAATTTAGATTGAAAATAAATTAAAATATTATGATTTAAATTGATAAAATTAATAATTTAAAATTATTTTGTTAGAAGTGTCAAATTGTGATTTTTTATTTTTGTAATTTCTCTAATAAAAAATATAGAATTTAAATTATTTAAGTTGAAACTAAAAGGGATAAATTAGAATTATGCTCGGATTAAAAATGTAATTTATCTGACACAAAATAAAATTTGCCAAAAAAAAATGAAAGGACACTCGTTCACAACTTGCATGTGAGTGAAGACAAACTATAAAAAAAATAAGCTGGGACAGGGACAGGGACAGAGACGACTTGAGTCAAAGGTAACCTTGGACTTTTATCCACGTGAGGATGATCCTAAAATAATAAAATAATTATTAGAGAAACTCTTTTGTGATGCAATCAGAGTGAAAGGATTTGAATAGAGACCTCGCGCTTGATAAGAAAAGCATGCAAACTATGGAACTAGCTAGAATCACTTGGTCTTATAGAGAGACTTGTCTTGAGATATCTTTGAATTCAGATATTTTAGCTTCGATTTATTTTATTTTATTTGTTGATATTGTTTTTGGTCTTAATTAATAAACATGGTTAGGGTTAGTCCTGACTTAAAATGGGACTTTTAATATATAATCACAAAAAAATAAATAAAACAAATAAAAAAAATGTGGCTAAATGGAATTATTATTATTATTATTATTTTTTAACTTGTTAATCCCTACCAAGTCTGTTTCATATAACATTACTTTATATACTTAAATTTATTACATAGATGAAGAGATGAAAAAATCATTATAAAATTTTAAAAAGTATTACAATTGGTTTTGTTACGTTATGGTTTAGCAAAATTTAGTTTAAATATATATATAAAAAAAAAAAAAAAAATTAAAGTTATAACAATAAGAATATATTGATTTAACTATAATAAAATATCAGATAAATATTGTTTTTCTCACACTTTTAGATGCAACTAATTAAGTCGGCATTAACTATAAGATCCCTTTAACTTGAATGCTGATGTTTGATTGGACCTTAGTTTTAAGTCTACTAATACTAAAAGATTAAAATTATTTAGAAATTACGTAATTTTGTGAAGTTTGGGGGCAAAAAGTGGTTGCCTTCTTTTCCTTTCATCAAAGCCGGCTAATTACACTTGTAAATTTCATTCTGTTAAAAATGTAAGTTTGTTTTTTTAATTATTAATCTAACTAACTGTTTGTTCGATTTAAGATTTTTCTATAAAAAGTTTGGTTACATAACATTACACTTGTGACATATTATTTTGGATTTATTTGGGTAAACATATTATAAATTAAAGTTGATAATTAGAAAATAAAGGTCAAACATCTCTCTTCTATCTTCTAGATAATAATTTTTTTTTCAACTTATTTAAGTTATTTATGTTTAATAAGTTGTAAATGAAAATTGTACCTAATAGCATAACATTGACTCCTAAGGGAACAAAAAAATTATAAGCACACTATGATTACTTCAGATGAACCAACAAGAAATTTAAATACATACATATATATATATATATATATATGAGTAATGTTACATCTATCGAATTTTAATTTGTGTGAATAGTTTGAATTTGTGCATATCGGTCGTCTGGTCGGTCATTCACAAAAGGGTGACAGGTGTAGTTGATAAGGGTTACACCGAGTGATCATCTGGACGATCGACCGATATGTACAAATTTAAATAATTCAGACAAATTCAATTCCATGAATAAATCATTTATATATATATATATAGTAATGAATAAATAAATTGAAAAAAAACCCCAAGTTACGTACACTATTCCCAATTATTGGCTTCTCTTTCGCTTAATTATGAAAAATATTGCATAGGAAAATGTTTTTTTTTGAGAAAAATGAATCTAAAAGGAAAAGAAAAAATATAATTAATTTACTTTCTTATTAATTGTACAGTTTACAAAATGAGATTATATAAGAAAATGATTTAAAATTTCTTGTGATCCATAATCCTTACTTTTTACAAGAAAGTGTTTGAGGGAAAATTTTCCCTTAAAACGACAAGTGCGCAAAAATAAAATGATTTTTATTTTCCTATTCTATCAATTGAAAGCATCGCAAAAGGAGTACTAATTATTTGGAAAAAGTAGGCTCACACACAACATAGATGTAATCAATGTAATGCCTTCCACTATTAAGAAGCCACCTACCCTACCCACAGCATGAAACGATGACGCGTAACATCTACCCACATCGGATTAAAAAATATGATAAATTTCACTTTCCCTTGATGAGTTATTTGACTAATGTGTATTTGAGAATGATTTCATAATTATCACGTGATTTATGAATGATAAATTTCACTTTCCCTTGATGAGTTATTTAACTAGTGTATTTGAGATTGATCTCATAATCATCACGTGATTTATGAATTAAAATATATTATTAAATATTTTATTAAATTTAATAATAAATATAATATACTTGATATATATAAAGGGATTATATATTTATTTTTAAAGTTTAAGAGAACAAATCACATATGAAATAAAGTACAAGAATTAAAATGTACTTTACTTTTTAAAAAAATGACAAAAATCTATGAATATTTTAATATTTTTTATTAAATCCTTAACAGATTTAATACTACACTTTAATACATAAATTACAAAAGATTATTTGATTATTTATAAACGTTATCAAATAAATTGCACATAACTCAAACTCTACTAGGAAAAAATTTGTCCTAAAAAATATCTCTATAGCATAATCTCCACTATAGTGTTTCAAATCAGCCAAAGCAATAGATTTTTGTTACGTTTATATGCAGAGAGTATAATGCTTCCGAAACTATTGAATAATTTTTCTCAAAAAGAGCCGACCTTTGGCATGAATGCATACTTGAATTTTTAGATATTTTTCCCATTACACCAAAAAATAAATAAATAAAGTCCCTCGCTATTGTCTTTTTGATTATGTTTGAATTTTGAATTTGAGTAGAAATATAAAAAAAAAAAAAATTAAAGACAAATTTGAATAAAGTATAACTCAAAATTTTTCAAGTTCATTTTCATTTTTATTCACAAATAACTTCTTAAATATAAAATTCAAATCCAACCTAAATAATTACAACAAATACAGAAGAAAGGGACACAAAGACAGTGCTTGAATGAGAGAGGAAATGTCTCATAGGATTGTGTACAATATCGCTTAATCTGTTAAAATTATACCGATTCACATCAATTCACACCGCTTTATCCGTCAACTGCGGTTTAAATTTTAAAATTTATAATCCGCCTTTGAAACCGTTTCACTCCGCTATAGTTAATACCTATATTTTTTTTAATTTCTAATAAAGTATCAAAATAAAAATGAATATGAGAGATTTAAGATGTAAAATTTATTACAAATTAGTAGTTATATATATATATATATATATGAAAATATTATGGAAAATTAATTTGTGTTATATATATAAAAAATATTATATAAATTAGTATCATATATTATGCAAATACTTGATAATTGGTTAAAATATTTTTCAATCCACCAATTCACTCAAAACTATTCAAATCATAATTTGTCAATTCACTAATCCGCTATTCAATTTATAATTTCTTTCAAATTATCCGAATCATACCACGCACGTACACTCCATGTGAGGGCTACGGGATTATGGCTCTTTTTCCTACCACACCACCCTTATCTCATGTTTCCCACTCTTTATGTTGCAAAGTGTAGGTCCTTTTGGAGGAGAATCTCAAATTGGAAGTCATTTTGCCTCTAGCTGGCTTCCGATTGCTATCCCTCTCACAAAAGCAAACTCTGCGAGGATGAAAGATCAATAAATACGTACCGACTCTTTCGGCTAACGAGAAATCACAATATTAAGACTATATTTAAATCAAAAATTTAAAAAGGGAAACAAAAATATATATAAAATAATTTTTTTTTTCTTAATTTCTATTGCTTTTTTCTCTTTCTTTTTAAATTTCTACTCAATTTCAAAATTTAAACGCAGTCTAAATGAATCATTATCCGCCCCCTAACTAGCTAACAAAATAAGTCAACATATCCCATCTGTAATTTTTTATTTATTTTTATTTTTTTGTGGCATAAATGGAAAAGAAAAGTGAAAGATTCAACATTTTATCACATAGGACTAGCGCCTAATTTACCTGCTTAAGATTCAACATTTGTTTAAATCCAAGTTCTTCAGAGAGCTTGAAATTATTGTAATTTTTGTATTTTTGGGTTTTCATTCGTGAGGCAGATATTAGCCCTCTTTTGTCGAAATGGGATGATCCAAACATGGCGCAAGACCAAGGCATCACGGGAGTCGTTAAGCAGTTGGACCAAGCTTGTAGAGAAGCTGGCTTCTTTTATGTGGTAACTCTCTGTGAATCCATTGTATATTCTTTGTTTGTGTGTCTGCTGCAAATCCTATCAGATTGACGATTTGAAGACCCATAATCAAACCAATATATTCAAAAATCAGACCAACCCCACCCAAAGAGGTCAGGTTGGTTCAGTTTTTTCGGTTTACTGGGTATTTTGCACACCCCTAATTTGAACCCATCAGTCATTTCAATATTCATCTTTGTTTTCAAAGTATTTTATTTTGATTGGGGCAGTTGTTTACTGACCCTCAATTATCTTCTCTCTTTGTTGTCTTGTTGGATACCTACTATCATTTTGAATTCTTAACTTCAACAGCAGGACTTCAGGAACTTGTTTGATTTAGATTATTAAATGTGTTTTTGATTATTTAAATAGGTAATTAATGAATAAACAAGTTGTGTATAATCATATTTGGTTAGCATGTATGATTGTTTACACATAAAAACAAACATATTTGGTTAAATAATGAAAATGGAAACAGGGTCTAAGTTTAACCAACATTGGATTGATATTTCAAAAAATGATAGTTTTTTTTTTTTAATCTATTTTAAAATCAGCCCAAACATCCTAAACCAAATTTTTATTTGTTTATTAATATATATACATACTTTTTAATATTGTTTTTTATGTGTTGTGATTAATCAGAAGGGTCACGGTATACCCAATTCCATTATCAAAGAGGTTGGAAATGTGGCACACAAATTCTTTAGTCTACTTTACGAGGAAAAACTAAAGATTAAAATATCTCCCACAACTGGATACAGGTATGCTCCCTGGAATAACTTGTGGCATTAGTATTTTCTTTTTCGTTTTTTCACTTGGAAATTGCTTCCTAATTTGACTGAGTTAACATTTTGCACACAGAGGGTATCAGCGGATTGGCGAAAATATAACCAAAGGCATCCCTGACATGCACGAAGCTATTGATGTATGTTTTGCCTAATTGGTTCTGAAGTTTTGGTGTTTGTGTTGCCACTATGAATAGTTGATCAGGATGCTGATATAACCGCACTAGAGGTATGATCATCGACTCTTTCTTTTAATTTTTAATCTTTTTTTATTTTTATAATTTTGGTTTAAAGAAAGAAATTTCTCACTCTTATCATTTATATACTAACCAATACATTTGTTTACGAAACCTCCAGGGTTAAATTCTGTTGATTTGAAAATGGCGTAATACTAGATTCTTGTTTTTAATTTATTTCTTGTTCCATTCAATTTGGGGTTTAAAATTTTAATTTTTTTTGCTGTTATTAAAATTTTAATTTTTTTTGGTGTTTTTTTTTTTAATGGTTTTTTTTTTTTTTTTTTATCAAGCCAAAAGTAGTGATTTTAGTAAATTGTTGAAGGTGAGAAACCAATCTGGTGAGTGGATATCCGCTCCTCCAGTCCCCGGCACATTTGTTTGCAACATTGGTGACATGCTAAAGGTACCTAACTTCACACAACTCTCCAATATCTGTTACTGTCTTTCATGAGGCGGAAACCCTCTTGAAACCTGGAGAAAATTGCAGATTTTAACAAATGGACTCTATGAGTCAACTTTCCACCGAGTCATCAACAAATCTCCAACATATCGAGTCTGCGTGGCCTACTTTTATGAGGTTATCTCTTTGCTGCCACTTGTTCCCTTTCGTTTAATCCTTAATATTTGTTTTTCACTCTTCTTAAGTGGTCCTTTTTACATGCTGTTTTTCATGAACAGACGAACTTTGACCCTGCAATAGAACCCTTGGATATTTGTATAAAGCGAACAGGTGGAACTAAGAAGTTTGAAAGAGCAGTTTATGGAGAGCATTTAGTTAGCAAAGAAACAACCAATTTTGTAAAAGAGGATAAATTAGATTCTTGATCTTTTGACCACCTACTTGTATCTTTAAGAACCATTAAATAATTCGAAGTTGTGTAAACAGTATCTCAAATGGAATTGAAACATTGTTCGTTGCTGAGATGTGTGTATTGGTGTTTGTATTCTGTCATTAGATCAATTTAACTGTACATGTTTTCTTTGCTTTTCTCATCTTCTTTACCTAATCATCTCCAAGTTGATTAATCGAGCCCTAGCGTGCCGTGTCTTGAAGGGGTGGGGTGGGACGGCAATTGCAATGGGTGACAAGTTGTACAGATATAAGTTAAAGAAATGTTGTTAGACCATTTCTAATGGTTACTTAAAATTGTAATCAAATTTAAATTTGATGAAAAATAATTTAAAATTATGCTCTAATAGCTTCATTAAATACGTATTAAATTCAGTATTTCACTTTTCTTTTATCAAACGGAGAACAATGTGTCTTTTATCAAATAACAGTTTATTGTCATTGGATTTCCACCACCGGATGTCTCTCCGGATGTCCTCCTGGTCGTTTCCTTGGATGATAAACTCAAAACAAAAAATTATAAAAAAATTACATTGGATAGTCGTCTGTCCAGTTGATCGGTGGTTCCGTTGAAGTACTTAATATCAAGAGTAAGGATTTTCTAGAGTTTTTTTTTCCTTAAAGTTTCCTAGAGTGGTACATTGTGTGGTTGAGATTTGATGACAAGTCACATCAATTTTTCAAAGGAAATTTTTATTCAAATTTGATGAAAAATTGATGGACAGAGTTGAAAATGCTCGTAAACCTTAAATATCTATATCTCCCCCTAGAGAAGAAATTACACTTGTTCATTTCAATTAATAATTAAACTAAATTTCTTATTTATTGCATTGCTGCATACACATAACTATAAACATAATCGGCAGCATATATGATAGTCTTGTCACCAACAATGGTAGTTGGAGTTTGGATGAACAACAGGGGACTGAACCAACAATTAAGGCAAATCCATCTTACGATACCTTTCCAGAGCAGCGTAAGAAGGCGACGGAGCAGGCACGGGCGGCATTAGTATCTCTCCATCAGACGATGCTTTCCTCGAAGCAAAATCCTCAATATTACATGGTAAGTAAGTCATAGACTTTTCATCCGGGCACGACCTCTTGATTGAGAAAAAAGCGGCACATTCAGCCTTACTTTTCTGAAAAGGTAGGTCCAGAATGCAATTCATCCTAACGTCCAGCACGTTCTTCTTGATCAGCTCTCTGCAATCTGGACCTACCTGTGTGAAGTAGTTGAAACTCAGAGTAAGATTCGACAGGTCATCGAGCTGGCACAGCTCTTCCGGTACCGTCCCATACAACTTGTTAAATGACAAGTTCAGCAGCTGCATCTTCTCCAAACACCCGAAAGAGCGCGGAATGGGACCTGTCAACTGGTTCATGCTGGCATCGAAGACAGTTGCTATCTTCAACAACCCGATTTCATACGGAAGACAACCAGACAGTTTGTTGTTCAAGAGCAACACCTCCAGCAAATTGATTTTAGCTTGGCCGATGCTTTTTGGGATTGGACCGGTGAATTGGTTGTTCGCCAAGGTGAGGTAAAGAGCAGAGGTGTTTCCCAGATTGTCCGGTATTTCCCCGGTAAACTGGTTGTTGTTGAGGAAGAGTGCGTCGAGGTTGAGATTGAACACTCGAGGATTAACCGGACCGATGATGGAGTTGAACCGGAGGTCCAAGAAGGTTAGCTGGCTGGCGCCAAGAACGGAGTCTGGGAACGGCCCGGTGAGCATGTTGTTGCTCAAGTCGAGCTCGAAGAAAAAGCGAAATTTGGAAATTTTGTCGATTTTGGAACCGGTGAAGTTGTTGGAGTTGACGTGGAAGTAGGCGAGGTCCGGTAGTTGATCAAGGAAGCCAACGGGGGTCAGTGGATTGCCATTGAGGTTGCCCCCGTTCAAGTTGACGCCGGAAACTGTGAGCCTCTTATCAGTGGGGAATTTGTCGCAGCGGACGCCCCTGTACTTGCAGACATTCTTGCCATTCCATGTTTTGATGATGCCATAGGGGTCGGAGGTTACTGTTTTTTTGAATCTTCGGAGTACCATATAGGCCCGTTCAAGTCTGCTTACAGTTCGCGGCTTACGGGGAGGAGGAGGTGGTGGCGGTGGTGGAGGAGGGGATTTTACTGGGGGAGGTGGAGGGGGAGATGGAGGTGGTGGTGATGGTGGAGGAGGGAAAGGTGGAGGGGGAGATGGAGGTGGTGGTGATGGTGGAGGAGGGCATTCTACTGGGGGAGGTGAAGGGGGAGGGCATTCGGATTCTGGAGGAGGGGAGAAATAAGGTGGGTAAAAGCCGCCACCGATTATGATTTCGAGTGTTTCTCTGGTGTTTTCAGAAACAGAAACTGAAGTGTTTCCATTTGCTTTTTGGAAATATGAAGAGAAGATGAAAAAGGTGAGAATTGCCATGGAAAGAAAGTTGTTGCCCATCTCTCTCTCCCGCTCTCTCTCAAATTGAAATGATGATGGTTCTCTTAAGTAGGAGGAGGGAAGAGGAAATATACAAAGGAACAATAGTGTACATTACACTATTAGCCCTATAATTTAGGTAAAATGTCATTTTAATTATGTAGTTTTAATTTGAACATTTTGAATCTTACACTTTTAATTTTGTTATAATATGATTCTTCTGTCACTATTAAAATTTTGAACAGGAAAAAATCACGTGCAAAGTTTAGAAGAACTAAAATGAAATTTAAAAAAAACTATAAGAACAATTGGTATAATGTTAGTCCTTATAGCTCCTTTTAAATTCCATTTTGATTCCTTTAAATTTTGCACGTAATTTTTTTCACACATGATGGGGATCACATTATAACAAATTTTAAAAGGGCAAGTTATAAAAAACAAAATAAAATAAAAAACCTTAAGGTTTGACCTTTATAACAAAATAAACTCTAAATTTTTAATTTCATTAATTTAAATTATAATTTTTTGATTTGTTTTCAATTTAAATCATTTCTTTTATAAAAAAAAGGTGAAAGCAATAGAAAAAAAATTTATTTTAGTTATTAAAACCAATGAAAAAATGTATTTTATATATTTTATTTACAACTACATTGAGTTTGATAGTTAAAATGTTATTTTTTTGTTAATTTTACTCAACTAAAATATGTGAATGATTTAGATTGAAAACAAATTAAAATATTATGATTTAAATTGATCAAATTAATAATTTAAAATTTATTTTATTAGAAGTGTCAAACTGTGATTTTTTATTTTTGTAATTTCTCTAATAAAAAAGATAGAATTTAAATTATTTAAATTGAAACTAAAAGGATAAATTAGAATTATGCTCGGATTAAAAATGTAATTTATCTGACACAAAATAAAATTTACCAAAAAAAATGAAAGGACACTCGTTCGCAACTTGCATGTGAGTGAAGACAAACTATAAAAAAAATAGTGAGGATCCTCTCTTTGCGGCTCCCGTACTTGTGCCCGTCCTTGCAGGCCTTCAGGTCTACTTTTAGGCCCAATTTTGATAATCCGAACCGTTCACATTTTATGATTTGTTCAGTATATCATACCTGTAAAAAATCAAGTTGATCGGATATCAGAAAACATATGTTCGGAAAACTGTTTATTAAATTCTTTAAAAAATAGTGTTTAGTTCAATTTTTCAAACACATACTTTCTGATATCCTATCAACTTGATTTTTTACAGGTATGATATACTGAATAAATCATAAAATATAAACGGTTCGGATTATCAAAATTGGGCCTAAAAGTAAATCCGAAAATCTGTAAGGACAGACACAAGCACGGACTTGCAAGGAAAGACTCTTGACTAAAAAAAAAATAAGCAGAGACAGGGACAGTGACAGGGACAGTGACAGGGACAGAGACAAAGACGACTTGATTCAAAGGTAACCTTGGACTTTTATCCACGTGAGGATGATCCTAAAATAATAAAATAATTATTAGAGAAACTCTTTTGTGATGCAATCAGAGTGAAAGGATTTGAATAGAGACCTCGCGCTTGAAAAGAAAAGCATGTAACCTATGGAACTAGCTAGAATCACTTGGTCTTATAGAGAGACTTGTCTTGAGATATCTTTGAATTCAGATATTTTAGCTTCAATTTTTTTATTTTATTTGTTGATATTGTTTTTGGTCTTAATTAATAAACATAGTTAGGGCTAGTCCTGACTTAAAATGGGACTTTTAATATATAATCACAAAAAAAATAAATAAAACAAACAAAAAAAATGTGGCTAAATGAAATTATTATTATTATTATTATTATTATTATTATTATTATTATTATTTTTTAACTTGTAAGGGCATCTCCAATGGTTTGCCATTGGAGTCCATTGTATATATAGCAGCTGCTATTGAATTTTGATACTCCAATGGCAAAACATAGCAGCTGCTAAATTTGAGAAATGCCAAACTTGTGTCAAATTTGACACAAGTTTTGCCGCCATTCAGCCAACTCAGCCAAACCAACGGTTTCCCTCCCTCCCTCCCTCCCTCCTTCCTTCCTTCCCTCCCTCCCTCCCTCCCCCCTCCCTTCATGCCAACTCAGCCAATTCATCAAACAGATTCACAGATTCACAGAAAAAAATTTATTTTTGTTTGTCAATTTGATTCATCAAACAGATTCAATTTGATTCATCAATATGACGAAAATTTTTCTTTAAAAACCCAAATCAAACACAAGAGATGTGATCAGAACAAAGCCAATTACAACCGAGATTGATTAAAAATAGAAGAGAAAGTCTAAGAAATTAAACACAATAATCAAGAAACTTTACTTGAATGGCCCAAGAAAATCACTAAATAAAAAGACTAAAAATTTTGAAAAATTTTCCATTACATTTATTTTTGCAGAACTACACGGGACAAAATAGGGAGAAATATGATGAAAAATTTTCATTAAAACTCAAAATAAAAAACACATGAGAAAGGTTGATTAAAAAAGAAGAAGAAATCTAAGAAATAAAGTGATCAAGAAACTTACTTGAATGACTAGTCATGGAAGATCAGTGAAGATCTATTATTCAATTGGAAGATCAATGAAGATCTGTGAGGCTTTGTTTCACTACTCTGGAAGATCAGTGGAGATCGGGACCAAGATCAGTGAAGATTTGGAAAGATTTGAGGAGAGGAGATGAGAAAAGAGGAGAGAAAGATGAAATATTGAGGGCAATGAAGGAAAGGAGAGAGAGAGAGAGAGAGAGAGAGAGAGAGAGCTTGGTGTATAGATAAATAGATATATTCAACTCAAACAGAAGGCATATAGATAGATAATGCACGGATTGTTCTAGATATATGGATGGATGAGCCGTTGGATTATATAATCCAACGGTGCTATTTTGTGAAAGGAATGCACATGGGTTTGAGCAACGGCTCTTTTTCATCTTTTTTCAAACAACAGCTATAAATTAACGGGCATTTTTTTCAAACGGTCATATTCTGTATTTCTATAAATAAAAACTCTTAATCTCAATTTTATTTCACACCAAACATTTTAAATTTCATTTTTCTTTTCTCTTCTCTTTATCTGAATTTTATTTCACACCAAACTTCACAAATTATTTTCTTCTTTGTTTTTTCATTCAATCACTATGGAAGGTTCATCAAAAATGAAGAGAGGAAAATCATTTACCACTCAAGAAGATGTGGCAATTTGTAGAGCTTGGTGTCACATTACTGAAGATCCAATCGTTGGGAATTCACAATCTCATGCTCATTTTTGGGGAAGAATTTTTGAAAATTATTGTTCATTGCAGAATGATCGCTCAAGAACACAAGTGTCTATCTCATCTCGATGGGGTGTAATCATGAAATGTTGTAACAAATTTCGTGGGTGTCTAGCGCAAGTCGAAAATCTACATCCAAGTGGGGCGTCACAAGTTGATATAGTAAGATTTCATTTCCATTTATTATGTTAGTTTTTTTTATTTGTCTTACATAAAAATTAACTGATTAATTAATTTAATATTTTATTGATATAGATGCTTCAAGCAAAACTGTTATACCATCAAGATGAAAACAAAAATTTTCTTTTTGAACATTGTTGGCCAATCTTGCAAAACAATATCAGGTGGCAAGATGTAACTCCTACGAACACGGTGAAGTCAAGAATACATACATCGTTTTCCCCTAATTCAACCCCTGATGCCCCTATGGATAACTGCATTTCTCTTGAAGATGACACCAGTCCAAGTGTTGGTAACAATCCAACTGTCGATGAGGGCAGTGTCTCTGAAAGGGGTAAAAGGCCGATGGGTAGGAAATCTGCAAAAGAATTATTTCGGAAAAATCAAGTCGCTCAAGCTGAAGTTCAAAAAATGGGCACACAATTGGACACATTTAACCAATACCTTGCTGAGAAGGAAAAGAAAAAAGATAAAAGAGAACAAAAAAGGATTGAAGCACTGCAGGAGATGAAAGAACTTGAGATGAAAAAACATGAATTTGAGATCAGAAAACAAGAACATGAGATGAAAAAGGAAGAACATATAATAATGACTACGGATATTTCTCATTTGGACCCTCAGATGAAAGCGTATTACACAATGCGAAAAAATGAGATTTTCGCCAAGTGGTCCTCAAATGTGAGCAGCCCACATTTTTATTTCCCCTTACCTCCTGATGAATAATTATAGGATAAATGTTAGTCTTTATTTTTTGCAATATCATTTATTTTTTAATGTAATTTTTAGTCTTTATTTGCAATGTAATTTTTATTTTGTAATGAAATTTCTTCTTCTTTTTTTTTGAGTATTTTGTACTTCACAATGTAATATTATTTTTTCAATGTATAATGTCCACTAATTTGTATTATAATTTAATATTTTCAATAAAGTATAATGCAAAAAAATAAATATATTTTTTCAATTTTTTCAATTTTTCAATAAAAAGACATTATAATATAAATATATAATTTTTTTCAATTTTTTCAATTTTTCATTTTTTTATATTTGTCTAGTTGGGAAATATATAAATATATAATTTTTTTAACAAATAGGTAAAAAAATGTCACAAAAGACAAAAAATAAACAAAAATAAAATCACAAAAAACCTATATCCAAACAATACCTACAACCTTGGAGGGAAAGTTGGTTGAGATTTGCCAAAAATAGCAAATGATCATTAGAGCACTATTGCTATAATTTGGCAAAATAACACTATTCATTGCCAAATTATAGCAATAGCAATAGCAAAAGCAAAATAGTAATAACCATTGGAGATGCTCTTAATCCCTACAAAGTCTGATTCGTATAACATCACTTTATATACTTAAATTTATTACATAGATGAAGAGATGAAAAAATCATTATAAAATTTTAAAAAATATTACAATTGGTTTTGTTACGTTATAGTTTAGCAAAATTTAGTTTAAATATATATATCAAAAAAAAAAAATTAAAGTTATAACAATAAGAATGTATTGATTTAACTATAATAAAATATCAGATAAATATTGTTTTTCTCACACTTTTAGATGCAACTAATTAAGTCAGCATTAACTATAAGATCCCTTTAACTTGAATGTTGATGTTTGATTGGACCTTAGTTTTAAGTCTACCAATACTAAAACATTAAAATTATTTAGAAATTACGTAATTTTGTGAAGTTTGGGGGCAAAAAGTGGTTGCCTTCTTTTCCTTTCATCAAAGCCGGCTAATTACACTTGTAAATTTCATTCTGTTAAAAATGTAAGTTTGTTTTTCTAATTATTAATCTAACTAACTGTTCGTTCGATTTAAGATTTTTCTATAAAAAATTTGGTATAACATTATACTTGTGACATATTATTATGGATTTATTTGGGTAAACATATTATAAATTAAAGTTGATAATTACAAAATAAAAGTCATACATCTCTCTTCTATACACTACAAGAAAAGTAGGTTTATGAGACGGAATTATTTGTGACGGCAAACTTGCCGTCTCAAAAAGTCACTTTTTGCGACGGTAAAAAATGCCGTCTCAAAAAAGCATAGTATTTGCGACGGCACCATTTGCCGTCTCAAAAAAGTAGAGCATTTGCGACAACACTATTTGCCGTCTCAAAAAATGAGAGTATTTGCGACGGTATTTTCTGCTATCGCAAATACTCTCATTTTTTGAGACGGCAAATAGTGCCGTCGCAAATGCTCTGCTTTTTTGAGACGGCAAATGGTACCGTCGCAAATACTTTGCTTTTTTGAGACAGCATTTTTTGCCGTCGCAAAAAGTGCTTTTCGTGTTTTGTTTTTTGTTTTTAGCGAATATTTTTTAAATTTTAAATATTTTTTTTAAATGCACCTTATTTAGATGTATCTAAAAAATAAAAAATTATGAAAAAATATTTTTAAAAATTAATAAATACATAAAAATACAAAAAAAATGTATTGAATTATGATATATTTTTTTTGTATTTTTGGTATTTAGTGAATTTTTAAAAGATTTTTTTTATAATTTTTTTATTTTTTAGGTGTATTTATGTTAGGTGTGTCTAAAGATTAAAAAAATACTTAAAATATTAAAAAAATTCAGTAAAAACAATATAACACGGAAAATAAGAAAGTATAATTTTCTCAAAAGAGTTTTTAAAAAACTCTAACCTAGCATAGTGATTGTGGTTTTAAGATAGCTTCATATATATACAGTCACAAAATGGTTTGAATAAATTCAACAGTATTTTTCTGTCACAAAAAAAATTAAAAAAAACAATATCGTCTTACTCTTTTGATATAACATTTCTCTTTTCATTCATTTTTTCATCTTCCTGTCTCTCTGTCTCTATCTTTCTCTCTTCTCTTTATCTCTTTCACTCATCACTCTTTTTTCTCTATCTGTTTGTTTCTCTCTCTCATTTTCTCTCTATGTCTCTCGCCTATCTCTCTTCTCTCTATCTCTTTAATCTGTTTTCTCTCTCTGTCTCTCTCGCTCATCTCTCTATCTCTCTCATTTCTTTTTTTTTCTCTCTCTCTCTCTCTTATCTTTCTATCTCTCTTTATCTCTCTCGCTTATTTCTCTTCTCTCTCTGTCTCTCTATTTTCTGTGTCTCTCTCTCGCTCATCTCTTTTTGCTCTATTTCTCACTCTTTTTGTCTATCTCTCGTTCATCTCTTGTTTCTCTCTCTTTTTCTATCTTTCCATTTATCTCTCTCTCTCTATCTCTTTTTCTGTCTATCTCTCTCTCTCTCTCCCTGTCTCTCTCTCACTCATCACTCTTCTCTCTCTCTTTCTCTCTCTCTACTTGTCTATTTGTCTATTTCTCCCTCACTATGCTCGTCTTGCTCACTCTCTTACTCTCATCTTCTCTATTTATCGAGCTCCTTCTTGATTTATCGATCCACTATAAGAAAATACACTTTTAGCAACCACTTTGTCTCTCTTTGTCTCTCTTTCTCTCTCTCTCTCTCTCTCGCTCATCACTCTATCTCTGTCTCTCTTCTTTATCTGTCTCTCACAAAATTAAAATATTTTTAAAATATTTAAATTTTAAAATTTTTAAAAAATTAATTTGAATTAAGTTTTGAAAAGAGTTTTGAATTATGTGTTTGGTTATGAGTTTCGAAAAGTAATGATTATATTTTGAATTGAGTTTTGAAAAATAAATATAGAAGTATGATTTGAAAGCTCAAAACAAACACCATACTTAAATCAATGGGTGGAACTATGACCACTACCACTACCGCTCTCTCTGTCTTTTTTTTTTTTTCTATGTCTCTCTCTCGTTAATCTCTTTTCACTTTCTTTCTCTCTCTTTTTGATTATCTCTTGCCCATCTCTTGTTTCTCTTTTTTTTTCCTGTCTATCTCTCTCTATCTCTTTCTCTCTCCGTCTTTCTCTCTCTCTCTCACTTATCGCTCTTCTCTCTCTCTGTCTGCCTGTCTGTTTGTCTGTCTCTCTGTCTGTCTCTCTCTTTCTCCCCCACTGTGTTTGCCTTACTCACTCTCTCCCTCATCTCTTCTTTATTTATTGAGCTCCTTTTCGATTCTCTACCACATTTACCACTACTGCAAATGCCATTCAACTACCACCACTCTTCTCTTTCTCTCTTTCACTCATCACTCTTCTTTCTCTATCTGTTTGTCTATCTGTCTGTTTGTCTGTCTGTCTGTATGTCTTTCGTTCATCTTTCTTCTCTCTATCTCTCTTATTTGTCTTCTCTCTCTGTCTCTCTCGCTCATCTCTCTTCTCTCTATCTCTCTCATCTCTTTTCTCTCTCTATTTCTCTCGCTCATCTCTCTTTTTCTCTCTCTCTGTCTCTCTCACTCGTCTATCTTCTCTCTATCTCTCTATTTTTCTATTCTCTCTCTCGTTCATCTCTTTTCGATCTCTTTCTCTCTCTTTTTGTATCGCTCATGATCTCTTGTCTCTCTCTCTTTTTCTGTCTCTCTCTCTCTCTATCTCTCTCTCTCTCTCTTTGTTTGCCTGTCTCTCTCTCTCCGTCTCTCTCTCTCAGTCATCACTCTTAATAGAAAATAATTTTTATTAAAATATTATCCTTACTTCTACCAAATTAAAAATAATAATAATTTTTTATTCATAAAATAAAAATGAAACAAATAAATTCTCAACCTTAATAACAAAAAGAAAATAAAAATTATTATTTATTTATTTATTTTTTAAATATTCTCAAAACATAATAATTATTATAATTTGCTTTAATTCTTTTCAATTACTTCAAACAACTGTCATAATTATCATATTTAATTATAAATTACACATGTAATGTGTACCCACTTTTAATATATATATATATATATATATATATGTTTTACTTCTTTTATATTGGAGATTCAACTTGAGTCGCGACTGTGAGCAATGAGCATGGGCGACAACGGCGTCTACCCAAATCCCCCTATTCTTTTTCTTTTTCGTTTTCCCGCTGTTTCTAATTCCCCCATTTCTTTTCCCCCTTTTGTTCCTCACTCACGATCCCCAATCCCCAACCCCTTAAACAAAAATATCCCCAATTTCAAAAATTCCCAAAATACTCTCTCTCTCTCTCTCTCTTGACTGCAAGCAGCGGCAGGGGGGGGACGACAGCGGGCAACGAGGTGGAGGTCATCCGAATGGTTGGAGGAAGTACAGAAGCTGTTGGTGCTGGTGTTGGAGGGGGATCTAGTGGCAATAAGATGCCGTGTTGAAACTCTCATTATTCAAATCTCAATATATCTATATCTATATATAGTCGTTATTATTGTTTGTGCAATTCAAAGGCTGTTTTTGTGATTTGTTGTGAGAGAATCGCGATCAAGATCGTTGAGAATGGCCAGTGTTGCTGGGATGATTGGCCGAGGTTGTGGATCTTCTTCGTGGATCCAATTGAAGAATTCGAAGAAGAAGAAAACGATGAGGAAAAATGACAGGGTTAGGGTTTGTCCTGCTTCGTATCCTGCTTCTTCTGCTGTCACCAATCCCTACAAGACATTGAGGATTCAACCAGGTGCTTCTGAATCTGAGGTCAAGAAAGCTTTCAGACAACTTGCTCTCCATGTAATTTCTCTTTCCATTTTCTTTTCAAAATGTTGTTTTTTATATTTTCCTTTTTTGATTAATATCTTCTTCTATAAAATCTGGTTCTGATTGGTCTCCTTTCCTATTAATTTTTTATTTTTTATTTTTTATTTTTAAATTCATTTGAAAAATGTTAGAAACTCAGGATTTAGATCTTAAATTCACCTAATATGACAAGATAGTAAAGTTGACACTTATCGCAAAAAAAAATTAGATTCTCAAACATTTTTGATTATGCTTAGAATGAGTGGTTTGAAAAAATATCGGATAAAAAATAAATAAAAATTTAATTGCAATTGCATTTGATGCATGTTTCATTTAATGTTATTTTTCATTTATTTGATTTGATTTAATTTTTTTTGATTAATTATTAATGTGGAACCCATTTTATTAATTAATAATTATGTTTGTAATATGATCGAATTTTCAGTATCATCCGGATGTTTGCAGAGGAAACAATTGTGGGGTTCAGTTTCACCACATTAATGAAGCTTATGATGTAAGTTCCCTACTCTTTTTGTCTATGGGCCTTTTATTTTATTTATTTTTAATTATGATAGAGAATTCTCATGGTTCATTCAAGTATTTTATTAATAATTTAAGAGTTTATCTTGTAAGATTTCACCAAGGATCCTCTAGAGTGAAATTTCCCTAAAGTTTCCTAGAGTGTTATATTGTGTAAGATCATATAATCATGCAGTTTTTCCTTGTAAAAAGTCTAGTTGGATTTGTTTTAGTCCTGATGTATTATACCGGGCAGTTTCCCTCCGTTGATGACTGGCATGTTGGAACTATTATTACTCCAATAGTTTATTTTCAATTTTGCTTGCTGACAATTTTTGTATGGGATATATGTTTCACGATGTACTATGTAATAACACAACTTATGGCAAATCCAGTTACTACTTACCATTTTTAGAGGCTCTTTTCTGTCATATAACTTCATAGAACAGAACTTTGTTTAGTCCCTGCCCCTGGTATGATTGATTATGATATGAACATATATTTCTTCTTCTTACAGGTACTTAGTGATCCCAAATGTCGAGGGTGATGGTAGAGACGAATGAGAGATCAGATCGTCCATTGGCTTGGACTCAACGCTTGATAAATAAAATTTTCAATTAAAGTGAGTTATTTAATTTTTCTTGTGCAGTTGGATGAACATTTTTCTCGTCCTATGAAAGAATTTGTTTCCCTGTGTTTAGAGAAGGCTCCTTCTGAGGTAGGTATCTATGCCCGCAAAATTCCTGCCTTTTTTTACTCATCTTATTGTGAAATTTTGTGGTGTAGATTCTGGAGAAACTTATGGGTCATTCACAACACTGGATGTTCTTGCTAAGAACTATTTTCTTATGTAGTTCACTTCCCATAGAAAATCCTAAATGGTTGAGAAGTGCTGTGTTGGGTTGTGTTTAATTTGATCTGCCTCTTCTTGCAGGCTTCACAATGAAAAAAACATACTGAGAGAATTTTTGGGCCTTTTAGCACTTTTTGGTGCCATGTCTCCATGTATACTTCCAATAACAATCTTTGATATTCATACTTGACATTGTGTTGCACTCATTTTGGATACTAGTTAACAAACACACATGGCCTGGATTCCTAAAATATACTTACAATAATAAAAACGAAATCTTTACTAACATATAGTTGCTCTCCCTCATGCTTGACATCAACATAATTTATGTTAGATCATGTATGATTTTGACTCCGCTTGCTGCTGAATTTTGTTGGATGCTTTCAATACCGTTAAGTTAGGAAAAATTTAGGTCTTTATGATACTAAAATGTATTTGCCAGCACATAATGTTTTGGTACAGTAAACATTTAACCATTGTGACAGTTACCATCCTGATGACAGTGAACTTTCTAGAGTAAAAATTTGATACTTTACAAGGTCCAATAGTTGTCTAGGTGATGTTAATGAATAATGAATGTGTAAATAGTTATTGAGGGCTGCCTTCACATGTTGGGTTGTCTTGCCAAATATTGCTTTATTAGCAATGTTTTCCCTCTTGATTACTTTAGATGGTTAATATTTTTCTTGAAATGTAGCTCAACCTCTAAGCAGGTGGATTGTCCAACGCATAGAGTCTACCCTAGAGTCCATACCATACCATGTTTCCAGACAGCCTAAGCAACTCTAGACATTTAGTGTGGCTTGTTGTCCAATCAAGGGCCTAGTTGATTGACCCAAGTACAAAAGGTTATTATCCTTGATTTATTTACTCCCTTCTTAATTCTAGAATTTCTATTTAATCTATCAAATATCAAATTAGCATGGCCTCAGGTGTAATCCTTGATTAGTTTGCATTACTCTATAAAAATTGACAGTTTTTGTTTTTGTTTTTGTTTTTGTTTTGTTTCCTATATAAAGGAAAAGAGAAATTAGAGAAGCAGTCCATTTTATGCTCCGTTTGGAGGAGGAGCTCGATTTTGTCCAGGGACAGAGTTGGCTCGCCTTCAAATTGCTCTCTTTCTTCATTACTTCGTTACTACATACAGGTTATTTTTATCCCTCAAATACTTATGAAAAACATTATACAGACAAACAGACTTTTACGTAGTACCAAAATAAAAAATAAAAAACTTAAGAAAAATTATGTTGCATTAATTAATGGTTGTAAAAGATGTCCTCAAATTATGGGTTTGTTTTTTGAGGGTTTATATATATATATATATATAT